TCCAACAAGGTGTTAGAAGACCCCAGACCGGAAATCACCTTTGGACCAGAAGGACACATGAAGAGCGCTTGAGGGGTGGGTGCATGGGCTGTAAGGGTATAATTGTCCAGGGATCTCTTTGTCCAGGGCCTCTCTCTGGAAGCATCCAGCTCAAGCTGTGTTTTACACCTGTACCAACTGAATAAATTAGTATTTATTTTTAAGATTTGATGCCTGAGACTCTGCTACAGGAAACCTAGGGTCGAGCCTGAAGGAAGAAGAAGCGCCTGAGGGTGAGTGTGTGTGCGAGCGAGATGTCGGAAGGGGCACCTGTCAGGTCACTGGAGTCACCCATGGCAAAGGGACTCGAGTCCCAGCAGTTAGAGTCTCGGGAGGTGTGAGTGTGATTCCTTGAATGGTGTGTGAATGCTTAGGCAGCAGCCTCTCCTTTAACAAGTAGCACAACTTTCCCAGGTGAGCTCAGCCTGGTCAGTTTTTCACATCGGTTAGCACAGCCGGGAGAAGTGCAAACCTGTCCCCAGCTGGGATAGCGGTGGCTGGGCTCGGCTTGTTTTCTTGCTTATAGTTAGATGACGCAGCATCAGGGAGGAGCACTGCATCAGGCTCCCATGGCCCTCAAAACTGAAACAGAAAGCAGAGGGGCTGCAGAGTCAGAGCTCAGCCAGCACGGGACTTGGCAGCAGCCACAGACTGGCTCAGCTCGCCAGGGCAGCACCTCGGCCCTCTCCAACGTGTTTCAGCTCTGCATTCCACCAGATGGGCAGCCTGTAAGTATCCTCCACTGGGTCCCCCACCTTTTTAATGCCGCTGGTGTCGGAGGGAGCTGCCAGGAGAAGAAGTGGTGCTGCAGGGTGCAAATGTCTGGGAGGGAGCAGGTCCTTCGCCAGCTGTGGGACACTTCTGGAGCAGTTCCTCCACAGTCTGGTCCACTGGCTGGTTTCTGTTTGCCAGCAATCTTTAGCTTGTCAGCAGCCTTTCTTCATCTCTGGTTTCCCCACAGCCAATCCTGCCTGAGAGGGAGAGGGATCCTGGGGAGGAGTGGGTGGCTTCAAGGAAAGGTGCCAAGTCCAAAGCTGCCTTCCTTTCCCACCGATGTTGCACGACATTACTCCTCCCAGCAGCCAGGGAGGGGGGATGCAGGACAGCCAAATCTTCTGTGGGGCTCTTCAGGGCAAGAGAAAATGCCCATTCCCTCGCCCCTTTGCATTCAGCCAGTTCACTGCAGCGGAGTCTGGCGGCTCCACAGCAATGTTTATCCCTGCACAGAGGCTAGATCCTGCACTGAAGCTGTGTGCCTCGGCCTCCCCGTCCCACTGCCTTTGCCCAGGCACTCAGCCAGCAGCTCGCTGCAAGGAAGGCACAGCCCCAGCCCAGGAAGGTGCTCACCTGCCTACGAGCCCACAGAGGGAAGGGCCACGCAGTTGCAGCAGCACAGAGGGTCCCTATGAGCCCCATCTTGCACCCCAGGGAGCTTGAGCCATGCACATGAGCCTTTCTCTGCCCAGGAGATGGAGACACAGACTCTCCCATGGTGAAGTCCAGTGCTACCAGTGATGCCTGCCCAGAAACAAGGGGGCTGAAGCCAGGCTGAGGCTCACTGTGCCGTGCTAGGGTTTCTCTTCCTTGCTCCTTTGAGGTAGAGCCGCAGACTCTCCGTCCAAAAGCAGAGGGGCTGCAGACGTCTGGGAAAAGCCCCAGCTGGACCCCATGTGACAGCTCTTTCCTGTTTATCCCCTGCTTCTCAGCCAGGCTGCCTCCAAACCGGCCTTGGGGCTGAGCTGCAAAGCTCACAAATGCTGCGGCTGTGGCTGCGGCTGCGCTGATGGCGGGGCACCAGGTCTCAGTTTTCGTTGCCAAACCATACGTCACCTCCAGACCAATTGTGTGCTCTCTGCCCCAGCTGGCACAGGGCACCTGCACCAAGCGTGTTTCTGCCCCTGTCACAGTCACATGTCGGTACAGCGATTTACCTGCTGGGCTGGGGAGGCAGCAGGAGGCTGAGGGGCAAATCTGCCTGCAATTTGGCAGAATGAACAGAGGGGCATTGCTGGGAAAAAAAAATAGGTCATTAAAGACATGAACCTCAAAGCAGGGGAGAGGGTGGAGATACGATGAGATTTCCCTGGGCTTTCATGCAGAGATCACATAGCAGCACATCTTTGAGGTGGCTCTTCTCCACCCCTGCCATGTATTTCCATGAACCTACTAGGCACGTCTCTGTTCCCTCTCTAGCAAACGTGCAACTAGGACAAATTCAATTGCTTTTATATTTTATGGAGCAAGAAGTAAAAAAAAGGTAATGTGAGATGATTGAACAAAAAGCCCATGTTCCTACAAGCCTGCCTTCCTCAGGAAACCAGTCTAAAGAAATATGACAGCAAGGGCTGGTGGGTGGGCACAGCCAGGAGCCAACTGGGCTGTAGTGGTCCCAGCTCTTGAGCTCTGACAGAAATCCCTGAGGAGCTGGCCACCTAACAAAGAGCCCCCTCTAAGTGCAGCTGCTTCTCCCTTGGAGAGATGCAAGGCAGGATGGCAGGGAGAAAGGTGGGTGGGCATGAGCCCTTGTGGGACAAGGAGAGGAAGAGCAGCAATGCCTGGCTGCAGGAGAGCACATGTAAAGACAGACAAACCAAGAGGCAATACCAAGGGCAAGACAAACCCTGGTGAAATTACATGTGCGTGAGGTCTCATTCTGCAGCATGCTTTGGGCCTGAGCACGGATATTTTCCTGGTCGTTTGTGTCTTCCTTGTAGATTCAGAACAATGGGCATCCTCCATGTGACCTTCCAGTCTCTCCAGAAGCCTGCTGTGAAGAAGAACTCCAAGGGAAGCTACAAGAAGTGAGGTATTGACCAGGGGAAGGGGACAAGTCGGGGACTCCACGCTGTGTGTGTGCTCCTCCTGGCTATGACTGTGTGGAGAAGTTTGAGACAGAGCAGCTTTATCCCTGTGCACATTAAACATAGGCACCCCACTCCTAACTGTCTAGGGAGTGGGAGGGGAATGCTGAAGGGTCTAGTCACCAGCATTGCAGTCAGACACTGGGTACAGATGTGAGTGGGGTCTCTCCTGGCACTCTTAAATTAAAATTCAGAGGCTGTACCAAATCCATAAACAGCTGTTGGGTGATGGCCTGGGACAGCCAGGACATCGGGATGATATACCACTGGGCAATGGGCTGTGGAGGAGAGATAGCAGGACTGAAGTTGTGAACTTCTTGAAGTAAAGTGGTAAATGATTCACAGGGTCTAATGCTTGGCAAAGGCAGGTGTGGTGGGTTAGGCTGCTCTGGCAACTATACCCTACACAGTCCCCTCTCACCCTCCCACACCTCAGGGATGAGGGAGAGAATGAAAGAGGAAAAAGAAAAGAGACCTGAGGGTTGAGATAAGAACAATTTACTACTACTGCTACCAATATATATATGTACGGATATGTACAAGGATAAACATATGCAAACGAGTGATGTACGGTGTAATTGCTCACCACCCCTTGACCGAGGCCCGTCTCGTCCCGAAACTGCAATCCCGAAACAGATAAAACTCGATACCGCGATCCCGGACAAACGGGAGGCCCCGAAACAGAGAGCGAGAGAGAGAGAAAACACTCCGAGCACCCGAAAGTGAGAGTCCCGGAAGGGCAAAAGCCCTTCTTTCTGGCTGACCCTGACTCTTATACTGGACATGACGCTGCATGATATGGAATACTAATTGGCCAATTTGGCCCTCAATCTTAAGTTCAGGTACAAATCGTAAGGAGAGTCGTGGACCCCTTGTCCCAGCCATGCTCCCCCCTTATCCTGCTGTGCTCCTGCACACTGGCAAGAACCCAGCAGACTGAAAAGTCCTTGAGACCTCAGTGCCAACTATAAACATCAGTGCACTATCAGCGTTCTTCTCAGAGCGAGCCTCTGAGTAAAACCAAAACACGGAGCTCTTCTGACTGCTAAAAAGAGCTCATCCTGGTCCCAGCTAAAACCAGGACAGCAGGAAAGGAGTTATTTGCAGAGCCTCAAGCCAGAAGCTGAGCTTGAAGCCAAGGTCTCCGAGCTCCTTGCCCTGTGTTTGTGCCCCTGTGCAGACTCGGCTGGCCAGTGCTGCGAGGCCATGTGAGACCCCTTCCTGATGCCACTTACCTGTTTTTCAGTGCAAAGCAGAAGCCTGCAAGAGGGCACCGAGGACAGCTCACATTGCTGGGAGAGGAGCAAGGAGTCAGGTTTGCCAGGCAGTCTGAGAGAGGAGCGAGGAGGATGACAATTGCAGGTCTGTCTCCGTGGTGCCCATCTCACCAGGCCTCAGGGGAGAGCAAGTGGCTGCTGGTGGGTCCGTGTTGGGCGTCGGTTCTCAGGCAACCAGGACAGAGGAGCACCATTTCTGCTAGCCTCAGTGGGGAGCAGGGCTGTGGGCGACTAGCCCTGCTGTGCCCAGAAATGTATGGGCCTCAAGGGCATGTAGATGCTGGAAACTTGTGGCATCAATGGCATCAGGTGCTATGGGGGCGGGGTGGGGAGGCAGGAGGAGACCTGCACTTCAGACCCTGTCATGCCTGTGTTTTACTCAGTCATCCAAAGTTCATGAGGATGTCCTTGTCTGACCAGAACTGAAAGAAAAGCGTTTTCCCATAATAGCTCTTAACCTCCTCCTTACCAGACAGCAGTGTTTTGCTCCCCTACCAGCACAGCAGTTTGCTGACAAATGTTTCTCTTGTCCAACGTGAGACCATGGTGCAAAGGGCATGTGTGGGGCTAAGGGAGCCACACTGTCCTCCTAGTGCTGGTCCACACGTGGGACATCATTACACAACCTTTGCTGTGACCAAAAACGAACCCTCCTTGACCCAGTAACACATGTGCAGCACAGCCAGAGGCAGGACTGAGATGCTCCTGCTCTACTTGCGAGGGCAGTCCCGAGACCTCAGTGGCGCAGGCTCAGAGCACACCTTGGGAAGGGTGCCATAACATACAACAACCAAGAGGTGTCCCACCCTTTTATGTTTTGCAGCAGGCTTTACCTTGGTATCAAGAGAGCATGTGGGCACCAGGATGGGTCTGCTGCAACAGAGGTACATCTGGCACCTGCTCTGTGCGCTGACCTTCCTCAAGGCTGCCGGGGCCTTGGCCCTGATGCTCTATGCGCTGCTGTGGGAAGCCGGGAACCTGGTCAACCTCCCTGACAAATGCATCGGCTTTTACAACTTCTGCCTGTGGAATGAGACGTTCGGGGAGCTGCAGTGCCTGGAGTACAAGCAGCTGCAAATGATAGGCATCAGCCTACCCGGAATGGCGTTAGCCAGGTTTTGTGTGTACACTTGCCTGGTCTTCAGCATCTTCTACCCTATTTTTGTTGCACATGTGAAGTGTACAGAGGAGAGAGAGGGCTGGAAGGCAATCCTCATCATACTTGTCACCAAGATGATAATCCTGTCTGGAGGCCTGGGTACATTTCTTTTCCAAACCTCACAGTGGATTCACCCCTCTGATTTCACTGGGGGCTTCTTTGCACTGGTTGGGACACAGGCTCTGCTACTGCTCCAGATTCTCACTGTTGCCATGTACCTCAGCTGGGTCGAGCACACACTCCCATTGTCAAAGCCATTTTACTGAGGAGGCCCTGCCCATTGAGATTTGACAGTGAAGAAGATGCAGAAAGCTGTTGATAACCTGATTTAAAACAGTAATCCCACTACAGTTTTAGACACTGGCAGGAATTTGATCCTTAGTCCAAAGGACCATGTCCAGCCATTCCCTGACACATGGCAGTGACTGCCGCCATCAGCTGGCAGCACTCCTGCAGGGAGCAAGCAGCAGGCACCAACACCCACAGCACAGCATGGGAGCTTCCCTAGGAACAGCAGCGTGTTAACACACCCCTTGGCCTGGGGCACGACATCAAAATGACAGCATTTCTGGCCCTGACCTAGAGGGCAGCGAAGGGAACAGATCAGAACTCGCGCGCAGCGCACATATCCCTCTGGCCATGTCTAGCCCAAGCATAAATGACGTAAGATATGTCACTAGAGCACCAGGTTGATGATGTAGTCAGGTCACCAAGTCCTGGCTAAGCATTTAAATTTAAGAAATGAGGAGCCATATATACTGCTGTACCAGGATCTAGGCAATTTGGCCATGTAAAATGTTTAACTAGTTAAAAAATTCTTGTCCTTTAGGTGAACTTTGCTCATTTTAATATGAAAACTATACCCCCACTGTTGAAGATACCCACCTCCTGAAGAAGACCCTCATCCACTGAGCATGCACATTGACTTTCTAGAGGCTTATACCTTTAATTGTAGACAAAGAAAACTTGTGCCAAGAAGAGGTTTTAGTAGAATGATTACCAATAAAAATGTTATAGCTTATATATACGTAGTTATGCATGCATAAATAGCATTGTTTTGAGCACCTAAGTGTGCTAGCTTTGTGGAATTATCACCTAGCACCCCTTTTCTGCATAGAACTGGAATAAAGCAAATATCTTGACTCTGTGTGTGGATCATTTTTTTTGCGCATTGGATGAAAGACCCATATTTGGGACAAAATAGGCAGGCAGAGAAGCAAACAGGCTTACTTTCTTGGAGTTGCCCAAAGAGACTGCTCCTTCTCCACCTCCTGGACTAACCTGGGATGTCTTTGAGGCAACTGTGACTTGAAGAGCTGTGGCTTTACACTGCCATCACAGCAGTGGCCGCCCCAGAGGTGCACTGGAAATATTCTCTTCAG